TCTCTCTCTCTCTCTCTCTCTCTCTCTCTCTCTCTCTCTCTCTCTCTCTCTCTCTCTCTCTTTCTCTCTCTCTTGTCTCCTTTAACCTCGTCGAGAAAAAAATATATATGCAATGTTTTATAAACTCACTCCGCGGATTTTTGAAAGCACTGATGGTGCTTCAGCACATCCAAGCGTATAAAGTATACACGGTCATGTAAATCTAGGCCTCGGAGAGCCGCCATCGCAGGGTAAACTGAATTATTTCGGTCCGTTAGATCGTTCTCCTGCGCCTTCTCTCTTCATCTCCTTCTCCTGTTACCTCTCCCCCCCCCTCCCGCCCCCACATGCATTTCGTTGAACAAATGTTGGGAGAACGGGATTCTATCGTGTCAACGAGGTAGGAGTACAGGGATTTTTCTCTAACAGAAAACGCTATTAGCGAAATGTACATAAGAAGAAAATCACGTACCAACCGATAAACTAGAAGCTGAATGCAAGCGAGGTTGGGATGATCAACACATGAAAATTTGTTGCTCCCTGCATTTCATCGTTGATTCTCGGGAAAATTCGTGGTGGTTGCTTCATCACGTGATTTCCACTGATGCTGTGAATTTTTTTAATCCAGATAATCGCTGGTTCAGTTTGGCACTGATTCCAGCTGCTTTCGCACCCAACTTGCACCTGAATTTAAGCCATTGCCACAATTTAAAAAATTACCTGAATTTATTTCATAGCCTTAATTTAAGCTGAGACCTGAAATCAAGTCACGACTTCATTTTAGGTCGCTACATTTAGGTAATTATTCAAATTTAAGCCATTACCTAAATTTGGGCCACGACCTAAATTTATGCCCGGACCTGATTTAAGCATTTTTCACTAAGAACGAGAGTTTGTGATATCGTGGAATATTGTTGGATAGCATTTTCTGGAGTAGGTACGCCATTACCTGAATTTATGACACGACCTGAATTTAAGCTGCAACCTGAAATCAAGTCATGACCTAAAATTAGGTCGTTAAATTTACGCTATTCCTTAAATTTAAGCAATAACCTAAATTCATGGCCGGACCTGAATTTAAGCCGCGCCTTGAATTGAAGGCATTCATTAAGTTTAAACTGCAACCTGAATAAACATTATTTTTGACAATTAAAAAATTGATACCTGGAGTAAAAACCACAGCTCATTAATATCTAAAACTACTCAGAAATATTGAAAACAATTCCCGAATGGACGGGATGACGATTGAATCCTAGAATCGTACTCAATCCATCTCCTTTAATTCTCCGATTTTTCGTAAATCTGCAATAGGGGAGATTGAGGGAAAACCAATAGTTCAATTTAGCAGGGATACTTCAACACTGGGAGCCCTCGTCGTTATGGTCTTACGCCAAACGGAAATGTCCATTACCCAATCGAGTTTTTAATTAACCGGATAATCGATTGCGAGGGGAGGCCCGTCTAATTTTACATACCATTTCATTCGAAGAAATTGTCCATCAATGTTCTCACTGATTATCAAGATATTCGGAGTGAGGGATTTCCATTGAAACAAAATAAATGATGCCCATTTGAACCCTTCAATCATCCGCTAATTCACTCCCATTACATTAGGTCCTCATCATTCCGAAATTTCTCATTCCTCCAGTCAATTACACTTGCCATCCCAATAAATGCATTTCCAATGTTGTCGGCCTGCAGAAACTAAAGAGACATAATTTTTCCGCATTCACTCATTCCGCCCCTGAGGCATTCCCACTCCCATCATTTAGACATTTCTTCATCTTCTTTGACAAGTCCATCTGTGGATGAATGAAAGAGAATCAGTGGTGCCCGCTTAACAACTGTCCACGGATAAATGCCGGATATTGAATTAAGGGTGAAGGAAAATGTTACGGAGAAATTGAAGGATATAACGTATATACAGAACTGTTACACAGCTGGGGAGACGGTAAAGCATCAAACTGGGATGTCTCGAACAACCGTCGTGCTCTCACTTAGACGCTTTGCCGCGGAATGTGAGTCGAGACTGCGGGATTGAATTACAACCCCACAGTGTACGACCTAATAAAACTCCTCCCTCACCTCTTTCTAGTGACCTCTCGCCCCCCCTCCCCTCCCTTTCTCGTATCCTTATGACTCTACCATCATGTACTGGCGGTGCCCTCTCGTCCTGTGTTGGCCGTCCACAACGAGCTATAAAAGTTGAACCGGTAGCAACGCGCTTCCGTACTGAGAAACATTGGCAATATGAGAGGTTCCTATTTGAAAATATTTTACATTCGTTTCTTCTTGCTTCTTGGTACATGCATTTTCGGGATTTTTCGCGGAAGGAAGTATCAGGATTGAATTTAAATTAGGGTCATCTTTTTCATTTTTTTTATTTCTTTTTTATTTATGGCCTGAATTTAAGCCACGACCTGAATTCAAGGCATTACCTAAATTTAAGTTGTGAGGCATGATTTGAATTTTATTTGCCGCCTGAATTTATTCCATGCCTTGAATGTATGCAACGAACTTAATTTCAATCGCGACCTGAATTTAAGTCACGACCTGAAGGGAATATTAGGATTTAATTTAAATCAAGATTATCTTTTCTATTTCTTGTGAGAATTGAAAACTTTACGGTTTATCCTCCCAAAACTGAGGTGATTCATATAAACAATAATTCACATGCAGTGATAATGCAAAAAAATATTTAAAAATCCGTCTGCATAGGAAAATTCAATTGAAAGAAAATAATAAAAAAAACCTCTTTATTTGCATCGCTTGGGTTTGAGGTTAACCTCTTTTTCTGCTTCTGCTTACCATGATCGCCCTCCCCTTTTCAATAAATTTAATCCCCCTCCCCCCCCCCTCTTGCCAACCCATGCGCACCTGTTATCGAGCGACAAAAATGCCAATAACATCCGATAACTGCGTCACGTTTCGATGCCATTGTGCTGTGTGGATTTTTTTCTCCCTCCCAATGCTGACTCTTTGTTTTGATTTTTTGGTCTAAAGTTCTTTTATTTTTCAGTTTCATTATTTTCACCGTTTCCATTGCCAATGGTTTTGTTCCTTCAATTTTGGCTGCCTTCGGCTATCTGCAGTGGTTCACGAATTGGCTGGGATTACAGTGGAGACTGCTGTATCAACGAGGATCATTGGTCATTTATGATCTCGGTGAAATAGTCGAGAATGTTCTCGGGACAGTCTTGGAACGAGTGTCTGCAGGCTTCGGGGGTCTTCCGGCCTTGGAATTCGGCTGCGTGATACTCTTGGTCTTCTAGATTTCCGTATGGTTCTGGGGTGCATGACGGTCTGGAAAATAGAGCGGAAAAAGAGGAAATCGAATTGTATTTTTGAGTGTAAATTTTGTGGATCAATGGATGAATGAAAATATATCGAAAACCTGTGTGAACCCCATAAGACCTTCGTATCACCTTCATATGACCTTCAGAAGATTTCCCCAAGACCTTCATCTGACCTTCACTCAACCTTCATCTGACCTCCATATGATCTCCGCATAATCTCCGTCAGACCCTACATGAACCCCGTAAGACCTCCATGAAACCCTCATATGACCTTCACTCGCCCTTCACCTGACTTTATATAACCTCCATAAGACCTTGATGACCTTCACATAACCTTCATGACCTTCATAAGATTTCCCCAAAACCTTTATCTGACCTTCACTCAACCTTCACCTGATCTTCATATGACCTTCACATAATCTGCATCTGACCTCCATAAGACCTTCATATAGCCTTCATCTGAACATATATTAATTTCAAAAGACTTCCATATTATGAGACCCTCCATGGGGTCTCATAAAACCTTCATATGACCTTCATAAGACCATATGTCCCCCACATGATATACAAATAAAATTTCTTATATAATATATTTAATTTTACTTTCATTCGCAAGAATTGAACAATTCCATGCCAGCCCGTAATTATTAATCATCTGTTCCGACTTGCCAAGATAACCTAAAGTAATGAGTACGTTACGTGAGGAGAACGTGAATGAGCTCCGGTGAAATTCCATGGTATTTTGAAAATGGCACAGCAGCTGCCTCGCAAATCACCCTTAAGAGGCAGTTTCTCCCTGAACCAAGAGCATCCAGACTAGACTCGATCATTTGGTATATATCCCATCGTGAAATGGATCCCAAGGATGAGCCTAAAGGTTACCGAAAGAACAGTCGGAATTAATGAATAACAATGAAGTCTTGTGATATATATATTTTTCATCGCTGGAGTGACACAATAGGGGGGAAGGGAAAAAAAAGAGGGGAGAGGAAAGAGACATTCAGGACGGATACAATTTAATCAAAATGAGAGTGGGCATTGGTGTACGGAGAAAATCCACAGCTGTCCAAGATTTTTCTTTTCCATTCTTTTTACTGGACTGCTGTAACGAGATATGCCTCAAGGTTGATAGAAAAACGATCCATTAATGTGCAAAATACCGTGGACTCTCGGCTTTATTCAGATTGGTTCCATTTCTTCAGAGAGGGGATTTAGATTTATTTGATACTTTTGTTTCTGAAGGTATGTGCCAGTCGGGGGATTTATCTTTTTTTTCTAGGATTTATTATCTCGATTTTGAGTCCAAATTTTTAGGCCTAGGAAGGGCTATTGCTAATCTTAGATTGCTAATCCATAGAATTAGGATTTTAGGAGTGAGGATTTACATCCCTAATCCTAGATTTTTAGGATTTGTAGGATTTGAAATTTCTATTTTGAGTTGTAATTTTCTGTACTAGAAATTCCTATTCCTAAATGTGCCCTCTCGCTTCAAATTTTCCGATGAAAATGGGGGAGTCACGCGTGAAAAAATCGCATTCTTCAGGAATTCATCGACTACCGCATCCACGTCAAATCGAATTACTGAAATGTTTCCACAAACCTTGCTGATCGAATTCTCCAGCGATTTCTTCCTGACGAAAGCCGTCCATCGATCTCTCATACCGCACGTAGGGCTCTGTCAGGTAAGACGCGTTGTATGGAAGGGCGTAATTGAATTTCATAACATATCCGATTATGGTGCTGACATCTACGTCCATTGGCAGACCAAGACCAGCGATTATCTGGATTTTTAAAAAGAAAGCAGCAATAGAAATCAATCCCGGCACTCAACGATCACCTCATGCCTGCAGAATGTCGATAAATTCCCGGGAATTGACAAGCGATCAAACCGCTTTTTTCAACTACGTCAGTCTAAGATTCATCCGGTCGATGGATGCGGCTCAACAATACTCACATTTGAGAGGAAGAAATGGTTTAATTCTATCGATCCATTAGCCAACAATTGAAGAAAAACTTGAAATGGAAAAAAATTGAAATTGAAAAATTGAAAAAATTGAATTTTCAGATTTTTTTTATCACAATCGGTCGATATATCACAAAAAAATTTCATAAAAATTTAAATTTGAAGCCCGAAAATACGAACAATTCTGAAGCACCAGAGGAAAAATCCTGTGTCGCCGCAATAAATCCTCTAGCTTCTCTCAAATTTAATGAACCGATCCCTTCAATATCCTTAAATCAAAAAATTTCTCTTCCGCGCTCACACAACCCCTCGCACCATAAATAAAAAATAGATCGAATATGAATGAATCACCTGAACTTTTGTCGCCGCAAAACTACTCGGCGTTGGAAATACCAAATATCGTTTTTCCCTGTCCCCTTCAGCTATTGTCGTCGAGTCAAGGACAACCAGAGATATGACAACATCAACGAAAATAACATGGGGTGGGATAAAAAATCTCATTCTCTCCGAAATTCTCGAAATGTTGATAAGATAAGATCACCGGAAGCCCTCTGACGCGCGCTCTTCGGCAACAAATGAATGGGTCACTCGAGGGAGACCAGTGGTAAACCGACTAATGACTCGTTGCACTCCCTGGACGTACTAATTAGTAGTGACGAGTGTTAGAGAGGCAATAGAGTGGCCAATGGAGAGAGCAAACGTAGTTCACTTGGGAAATTTTCGTATCCCATCGCCATCTGTTTTGGGGATGCATCAAGGAAATGTGAGAATGGCGCTGTCACGGGGGCATGATTACACTGTTTCTCTTTTAACGATGAACCGGCAAAATAAAAAAAATACAGCCAAATTTATGGATTTTTTCAAGGACATTGTTTGATGTATTCCGGAGCCCTGTGCGGAGTTTCAGATTGCTGCGGAGAATGGTTCAAATGAAATAAATTATTTCAAAAACGTCAGTTAACCCGCATTTTTATGGCGAATGTAGAAAAATCCGCATCATGAACGTAAAAATGCAGCCAACGTCACGAAACTTCGTACACATGCGATAAATACACCTTCTGCAAGAAAAATTATATCGGTTCAGAACATTTTTTAGCCGGAATTAACAAGAAATCTCTAAAAATCAGAATTTCTGCGCACGCAGCTGTGAACTGCGACGACGCAGCACCTGCCGATGGGGTGGGGATAAACGCGGTAAATTCAAACGGGTGTAAAAAAGAGTTGTGCTATTATTTTTCTCATCAATAGGAAATTATAACGACGTGTGTGATGAATTTATCGGATAAACGAGACGCGAAAATGTGATAGTTTCAGTCGCCAGATGCAAAAAAAAATTCGCAGAAAAATCTGGAGAATTTGTCAATGCGAAATATTTCTCTCCAAAGTTCGAATTTTTCCGGTCAACGCCTTCTGCAACAGCCGCTGCACCCAGCATGCGACCTCATCCCGTATGCATCGATTTAGATCGTTGGTATAAAAGATTCGGGAAATTGGCATGACAAGTTTAACAAGAAATTCAACAGAAAGGTGAATGGGGGGTGCCCCTGGAGAGCAGAAAACATGCGATGAAAGTTTGATTCTTGAAACTCTCGTCCCATCCCTCAGCTACATTTGGATCGATGTCTCTTTGTTCATATTGTGTCAGTTGTTAGCGATCTTCGTATTCAGCTGTGTAGAATATTCGTTTTCGTTTTTTTCGGGGCTGGTGTGTACTTTTATTTAATACTTTTCAGGATTACGAATTCGTATCGCCAATCCTACATTATGAAGCCTAGAGATTTATCTTTTTTAGGAGTTAGAATTAGAATTTTGAGTTCATTTGTTAGGGCTAGCTATTTCTAATCCTAGATTCGAAACCCTAGGAATTTATCGTTTTAATCCCAGTTTTTCAGGATTAGGAATTTATATTACTTATCCTATCTATGTAGGATTCGGAGTTTGTATTCCTAATCCTAATTATTTGGAATTAACAATTTACGATTGAAGATTTATATTCCTTATCCCATTTTTTAGGATTAGGAATTTAGACTCCTAATCCTAGATTTTAAGGATTTTGGATTTATACTTTCACCTCTCCTCCTTTCAATTCTTTCAGACGAGGAGTTTGAATTCCTAATCATAAATTTCCGCACCAAGAATTCAGAAAAATAGACTGAAGCAGTGAAAACAAATCAATTTATTCCCCAGATATATTCCTCCAGTGGTACACACCCATACAATTGGCAAGCTTCATACTTCCCCCCAACAACTCGAAAATCATAAACTTGTGAAATAGTCCAGAGGACTCTTGACACACTCCGAGAACGCCCTGCTGCAAGCCCCCCGATACCCCCTTCCCATCAGCTCTGCCCTGTGATACTCATGATCCTCGTGAACCTCGAGCTCCTCTGAAGTACTCGACGGTGTCAGTAGGACGTGGAGAAGCTCACCCAGGAGTCCGTGGGATCTCCGGAAGGGGCTCTCGGCAGCCTCGCAAATCGCTCGGAGCAAGCACACTCTTCCCGAGCCAAATGTTTCCATTGCAGTCGCTAACAATCGGTAGAGACTCCATCTCGATACGGGTTTTTCATCCTTGAAGACATCTCTCTGATATCGAATGTACGGTTCAGTGAAAATGGAGCCGTTATAGGGAAAATTGTAGTTGCATTTCAGGACGTACCCGAGAATTAGGGCTATGTCTCCCTCCATGGGGAGACCTAATCCGAAAAGTACCTGAAGGAAAACAATAATTTACAATTTTATGGACGGAAGTTTTTTTTTAACATTTTTTTTTCGCATTGAACGATTCAGGAAAGAATGAATTTTTGAAGATCTAGGAAACTTGTCCAACCATCTAATGATTTACATTAGCGCTCAGAGGATGCTCTGTACTAAGTAATTAGCACCAACATGAGAAATTACAACATACCTGTAGTTTAGTTTCGCTGCCGAGTGGATTGGGATAAACCAAATACCGTTTTTTCCGGAGTAGACTCTTGATGTCGAAGTGTTTGTTGTCCCTGAGCGTTTCTCTGGTGCTCTCGAACAAGGAGAGAAACCCCAAGATATGACAGCTGAGAATAGCGAAATTCACCATGCTTGGGATATTACTGATAGGGGTCACTGAACTAATTTCAAGGGACAGAATAATATTGTCACGGTGCGGGAGGAAAGTTATGACAGCAGCGTTTTCGTATGCTCACTACTTAACGCTGCGAATGGTTAACCGTTAAACACCGGACGATGAATTTCAGAATGAGAATAACAGGACAGTTGCGGGAATATGGAGCAACGAGTGGCAAGGAGAATTTTCGCGTTGTGAGTATTGACGAGATATTATTTTTTATAATCCTAATCCTTGAGGTCTGAAACTCGCAATTTTTCTTCTCAATCCTAATTTTACAAGACCAGGAGTTCATATTTCTTACCTTTTTTAGGATTGAGGGTTTGTGTTTCAATCCTAGTCATTCAGGATTAGGAATTTTAAATTGAGGATCTATATTCCTTATTCAATTTTTTAGGATTAGGAGTTTATGTTTTGAATTATTTAGGATTGGAAATTTATATTCCTTCTCTCTTTTTAGGATTGGCAGTTTGTTTCCCTAATCCTAGTGATTTAGAATTAATAATTTAGGATTGAGCATTCATGGTTTTCATATTATTTTTTAGGATTAGGAGCTTACGTTGTTAATCCTTGGTATCTAGGCTTAAGAAGTTACATGTCTCATCCCTCTTTTTTAGGATTGGGAATTTGTATTCTCCAGCCTACTTTTTTTAGGATTGAGAGTATTCCTTCTTAATCTCAATTATTTACTATCAGGAATTTATATTCCTAATCCTAAATAATTAGGATTAGGATTTGGGATACGAATTTCTATTCCTAATCTTAAATCTTTGAAATCTGCAGTTTCAATTTATCATCTTAATATTTCGCAAAAATACATTATCAGAAAATATCAACATATTTTTATACCTCTGCAAATACTCCTCTGGAAAAGCGGGAGAATATGTTTGTTAATGCTCTAGTCTTAATTCGAATAGTTTGGAAATGTGATTCCCGGTGTCCGCACGATTAAGCAGAGCGTGCCGTGACCCCACATAGAGAGAACGAATCCTATTTCTCCCAGTGTGCCGGGGGTCTTTTCGGGAATTCGTGGCGTAAGTAGATAAGCCGGTGATGGTCAGACCTCGGCGTTGAGCAACGCCAACAACCGCAGACCTTTTACAAGTTGAATTCGACCGCCTTTAACGCCATTCATATAACTTTTCATTGCACTCGACTCATGATCCGTGTTTCAACGGTAATGCTGTTGTTCATTCCAATTGTCCAATTAGATAAATCAATTGAAACGTCGAGATGTCTACGGGGATCTAGTCAGCGATATATTATTCTGTGAATTGTCGAGTTGTATTTTGCAGAATGATTTTCTGTGCTTTCACGGGTTAATTAGTAGTGATTTTCGCAATCATTTCAGGACTCAATCTTTTCAGGATTAGGAATTCTCATCGTTAATGCTAGATTTTAAAGATTAAAGATTCAGCATTTTTCACGGTTTTGGAATTTGGATTTTGGAGTCCAATTTTGCAGACTTGGAAATCCTATTCCTAATCCTAGATTTCAAAAACAAGGAATTAGTATTCCTAATTCTAAATTTCAAAAACTAGGAATTTTTCTTCTCAATCCTAGTTTTTCAGGATTGAGAATTTATATGTCTTGACCTAGCTTTTTAGGATTGAGAGTTTGCATTCCTAATCCTAGATATTTAGGATTGGGGATTTATATTCCCTAGTCTAACTTTTTACGATTGGGACTTTGCCCTCCTTATCCGAATAATTCGGAATTAGGAATTTAAGATTGAGGATTTATATTCCTACATTCCTAGAATTATCCAGCTGTATTTTCCAGAGTGATTTTCAGTATTTTCATGGGGTCATCGCAGTCCTCCTACGAGAGTAAAAATTCTGAGATGGCAAAAATACTTCATCGACCGATACGCGCCGTCTCTTTTCCTGAAGGAAGTACAATGGGCGTGAGTATCAATTGTAATTCAGTTATTCATTGATTCACCAATTCTTCGATCTTTTGATTAATATATTAATTTCCACAGTAAAAAAATGATGAATTAAACGTGGAGAAAACTTTTTTCCCTCGACCCCATATTTTTTGGAGTCATTCCAAAAATATCCCAGACTTGATAATCAAGAATATTTATATTCTCCTCTTCGTGTGAATTTCCAATCCCTGACAGTTCCATTATTGACTAACGGATCTTATAAAAACAAAAACTGAATCAAACATTGCACTTCTGTTGCAGCTCTTTTTCGCACTGGCAGTTCCACTTCCCGATCCAGACAAGTCTATTTCACTCTCATATTTTTTCGAAGCTACGTACAACCTCCCCAATTCTACGATTCTTGAGCCATGGACCGAGAGTAAACGTAAAAAACGGGGAATCGATAGAGCGCGAATTTACGGAACACTTGCAAATAAATTCGAAAGGTAGTAATGATTTCTCTTCTTATCCGAGTGAAAAAAAATTCTGTATTAGGTATCTTCTTCAATTTAACCCTCCACTACTACTCCTCAACACCGAGTTTATTTTCTTGGGAATGGGTGGGATCTCGCAAAGGATTTCACTGCATTTGTTTATGTTTCACGCTGGGAAAATTGATTACGCACACATTTGCTTTAGTTTCCTTTCCACGTCTGGAGTGATATAGCCTGGGGAATCTGGCGATGTCAGTCGGCTGTGATAACTCGCTGGATCAAACGAGAATTTTTATTTCTTCGTGTTGACGTACTGACGGAAAATATCGTAGAATCGAGAATATCTTAGTTCTTGAATGCAAATAGAAATTATCTTGAAGTATGAATTTCAAGATTAGTTATTTTTCTATGCACTAATGTTTTAGGATTAGGAATTTTAATTCCTTGTGCACATTATCAGGATTTAGGATTGAATTCTAGGCAAAATTTTGAGGATTAGGATTCCGTGTGCCCAAATCCTAGATTTTGGAATCTAGGAATTTTTGTCATGTTTCTAGGATCAGGAATAAAAAACAGAAATTAATATTCTTTCGGATTGAGAGTTAACAGTCGTAATCCTAGTAAGTCAGGATTAGGAATTCCTCATTCTAATCATTTTTTTACATTCCTAATCCTAACTTTTGCGATATTAGACTCAGAAATAGAATCGGCTTAGTTATTTTATATCACCCTGCGAGTGAAGATTCCTCGCCGAAATTTTCAGGATTAGTGATTTGTACTCCTAATCCTAGACTTACTGTAAATACTGTAAATATTAATTTCCTATTCCAATCTTCGAGGATTAAAAATTCTCATTCCAAATCCCAATTCTCCAATCCTAAATTCCAAGGATTAGGAGTTTGGATTGTGGGTCATTATCTCCATACATTTTTTAATCTCGACCTTTCAACATTAGGCAGCCCAGTATTTAGGATTAGGAGTACGAGTGACTGCAAAACAGACAAATTTGTCTGCCACAACAAAAACCTCGATCACTTGAAGAATAACTCCCACCTAAAAAAAGCTATTTCCTCCCCTGTCCTCACACATTGCCCCGCCGGTTTTATTCCAGCCTAGGATATAGTGGAAGGGGCTGCCTCCTGCGATCGATCTGCGAAACTTCGGAATTCAATTTGGAAGATAATGGAGTCCTCGGTGATATGATAAATGTCATCCTCACGTAAGTAATTAAACCCCCAACCCTTGAGACGGATTTCTCACTGGCAAATAAACATGAGCCGGAATATTGGGGAAATGGGTACAATGCCACCACTATTGTATGCAAATCACCATACATGGTATTCCCCAATCTGTAACCCCCATCCCCATTCATTATCAGTATTCCTGACGACGTGGCCTACGTTCCAGGCCGTCGACTTCTCAACCGGAGGATCTACCGCAGGACATTGTCGAGGCCGAAACGATAGGACGCAGTGGTACCTGTTCGAAATATCATTCCCTCTGTCCCTTGGGGCTATTCGACTTGATTGGAATCCTCGTGTAAAATTCAGAAGCAAATGGGCGTGAGACACACAACAGATACCCAGCATCTTCCATGTGAATCGTCAGCTACATGTCATTCAATTCATTTTCACCGGTGAAAGGATTTATCTGGAATAAAAATCCTGCCAACAACTAAATGACTAAATTTTCAAATTCAATGCAGCTCCATTTTATCACGCATAAAATCCAATCAACGAAGAGTCCTTTCATCTACCGGGTGATTCTCTGACAAACAATTCAGTGTAACATTCACATGGGCTAATCAATATAAACAGCCTTCATTGTTTGCATCGCACATGTGACTTCTGTTTTTATGTTAAAAATAACCAAGTGGACAATTGAATTTTATTTATAAACAAGTGTCGTTTTTTTAAATTCTTATTTCACTACTCTCTTCTTCTATTTTTCCATCTCATAGTACTAACATCATTTGAAATTTGACAATTAACCGTTTATTTGCCATCTGACATTTGAAATTCATACTCCAGCGAATTCCACAGTCCTCCCACCTCTGCGAAAATCCCCTCCAGGAGGAAAGTCTCCCTGGAAACACTTTTCTTTGAAAACAAATCCCCCGTGACGTTAAGAAGTTGGTCTCGTCCCGGCCGGTTTTGCCGAAACCCAACTCTGGAAATTGCCAGAGTAAATCAAAGTCTTTTTTCTACCCTCTCGTGCTCCATCCTCTTGAGCCAACTGGCGGGGCGGGGGGGTGAGGTAAGCATGAGGAAACGTCCAAACAATACACTACAGGGTGTGCGGGAAGAACCTTGAATTATTCGTAGACTGCCTCAAGTACGTGATATCCTAAAGTGTAATTTCAGCGTTTGGCCACAGGCAAGACTGTGGCACCACTGTCGTACACAGGCATGACGACTAAACCAACATGACGCCATGTTGGAGGCTGTCACGTGTAATCCAACAATATTGCAGGGAGTTTGGCGGGGAGGGAGAGAAAGGGATGAGGTCAGTCACTCCTCAGTTGAAGTTATGTACTCATAAATTCCAACGGGACAGAGGGAGTAAGTTGTGCCACAATCATCCGCTTGCCTCTCAGCCAGCGTGTACTCCACTGGTAAGCCCTCGTCAGCCGATGAGGATGGCCTGTAAAATAGTCAAGTGTTTGACTTTACACTTTGAGATGTTGTATATCAGCGTATACGATCTATTGCTGTGGAATTCCTAATTCCTGATTCTTCAGGATTAGGATACTATTCCTTAGGATTAGGAACTGCATTTGCCATCGCAATTTCTCAGGATTAGCTCTTGAAATTCGTAAAATCAGATAGGTTTCAGAACGATTATGACAATGTACTCGCAACTTACGTCAATAAAATCTTCAGAAGATCACCGATCAGTCCATTATGTCCCAAAATGTTCCACTGCGCTGTCTCGCAGATAAAACGAAGTAGGCATGTACTTCCTGGCAAACCGAAACTGGAAGTTAAAACGTGAGAGGACAATCAATCAATCGTGGATGATGTACCCGAACGACGAGGGTAACAGAAACAAGACAAATGGGAATACCCAGGACACGAGAAAAGAGAACGGATGTGTGTCTTCGTATTTATCAGTACCAGAAGATACTTATCCGCCCCTCATTTCCTATATTCGTTGCATGCTCACTGTCGCCGTCTCATACGCCACATCGAGTCATAGGGGGAGTGACGAATGATGGAGAAATTGGATTAGGGGTTTTTCTTCCTGATGTCTTTACGCTCTATCTCACTCTCTCGTGGTATCGTAGTTCACTTCAACTTGTCTTTGACCATTTCGAATGAAGTGCACTTGGGCCGATGAAAGACAAGGCGCGGAGGTATGAGTGCCGGAGAAATTGCCTCATTATTACGGTTTCATCATATTATAGACCTTCTGAAGTTTTGGTTGGAAAATGTCGAGGTAATTTCATCGAGACCCAGGTAATTTTCAATCATTAGTGACAGTCATTTTAAGAAGGTTAAAAAGCGTTGATTTATTTTGAAATTGCTAATTCTGATTTTTTTGAGTGAGTAGCTTAAATTCGTTATACTGATTGTAATATTTTTGGTTTGAGAGTCTGAATTCCGAAATTAAATTTTCAGGATTCAAAATTTTTCATCCTAATCCTAGTTTTTAAAAAAGGAGATGTCGGATTTTCAGTCCTAGCGTTCAGGATTGGGAGATTGAAATCCTAATTCAGATTTCCAGTATTAGGAATTGAAATTCCCAATCCTGATTCTCCAATCTCATTTTTGACACATTAGGAAATTAAAATCCTAACCCATTATTTCAGGATTAGGAATTTACAGTCCTCGTTTCAAAAATTAGGAATTCGAATTCCTAATCCTTATTTTCGAGTATCAACTCCTTCAATCACGAATTGTGATGTCTTTTAGTATTCTTTATTATTATCTTCAAACTTCAGATATCACCATCCAATATTGAAAATTCATGAAAAAAGATTCTCCACAAAGTTCAAATAATTTGTCAAAGTCATGTTGAAAGTTGAGCTTTTAATCTCCGGATTGGCTCAACGTTTTCCCGCCTTAAATGGCCATAATTCGGTAATTCCTTTATCCCACTTTCCAACCTCCCTCCATTCCTCTACTTACCCACTCCTTTGTACTTCCGTAGTAGGTGCTCCAGCATCATTTCGATCGCCCGGTAATCCCCGGAACCACCAACGAGGGAAAAGGACCCCTCCAGGCTTGAATAAGATTACAGCTAACCAGTTACCTACTATATCCTCAATCTTTGTTTTCCCTCTACTCATAAAATTAATTTTCATGGAGAAATACCTCCTCTCTACGCACTCCCTCTCGCCACCCGCGGGAATATTTTCTGAAATATTCCCGCGTGATTAATCGGAGCGTTTAGGAAATTTACATAACCCGAGAAATGGGACACATGAAAAATATCCGGGAATATTTTTTTATTGTTTTTTTTAATTAAAGGATGATAAAGCCTGTGGAAAAATTGAGATTGAAGATCAGAATTAGGAATTCGAATTCCTAATGCTTAAAATTAGGATTGGAAATCCTAATTCTTAAATTAAACAAAAGCGGCCAGAAATATGAATTCGTAATCCTGAAAATTTGAACTAGAAATTGAAATTCCCAATCGAGAAAATTTGATTTTTGAAGATCAGGATTTAAAATCGAATTCCTAATCCTGGGGGTCCCACGGTACCCACTATGAGATCAATGGGACAAGTTTTTTTTTTAGTTTTTTCGACTTCCCATCCTAATCTAAAAATTAAGGAATTCAAATTCCTAGCCCATATTTTAAATGTAAAATGTTGAATATCAAATATTTTTCAGATCGCCATACATCATCATATAACATTCAAATTCTCCTGCAGACTCACATGCGAAATATATTACTAGACCAATTTTTTTCATAACACTGAAGGAAATGACTGATCGCTGGGCTTGCGATTTTTCTTTGTTTTCAAGTAACGAATATAGGATTTCTTACGGCACGATGACTTCCTTTTACCCCCCCCCCCCCC